CACTAATATTCCGGAGGAAGCAATTCCTATCTATTCTATGTTCGCGGATGACTTAACAATCATGATGGAAGCTTCTATAAGAAATATGGAGGAAATAACGGTGTTAATGGACAAATTCTCGGACCTTTAAGATATGCTAGTAAATTGGGGCAACAAAACGGAAGGATGGTGGATACATTCCCAAGGGGATAGACCACCAGAACTCCCTAAGATCAAGTGGTTGCCTCAGGATGCTCCTATCAGGGTATTAGGGGTAATAATGACTGCACAAGGAAAACCTAACTCAAACGACTTATGGATTTCGTCTCCTGCATTAGAAAAAATGAAGTTGTGGCAAAATAAACACACTTCGATATTTGGAAGGGCATTAATAATCAATAATGTGGTGTTAGCGGCAATTTGGTATAAAGCAATGTTATGGTCACTCAGTAAAAATGCTACCAAGAATGTACAGAGACAGGTGACGGCCTTTCTGTGGCGGGGGGATCACGAATCTCCAAGCGTCATCCCCAGAGTGGCATGGCAGACGTTAATCCAACCCAAAGACAAAGAAGGTCTAGGGATTATCGACCCAAAAATCCAATGCAAGGCTCTGGCTCTACAAGTAATGAAACAATTTATTTTGGCCACAGACCTGCCTTGGCAAGATCCGGTGTTGGAACAGATCCGAAGATTGGCACCCCAGACATGTAAGGAAGTGCACCCTCTAACTTGGGTAGAAGATAGATATTGGACCATCCCTCGGGCAATGCAATCTAAGGAACCGGATGAAAGAGGGGAAGCAAGGAGAGACCTAATTCTAGATGGTTTTTGGACGACTCAACTAAAATACTGGCGGGAGTTGCCCTTACCAAACAAGTCAATGCCAACAAGGTATGAGGAAATTCTGCGCCAGCCCTTGTTTGGCAACCAGTGGATTACGAATCAAAATGGGAGGGTATTTATTAGTTCAGAGTCTCCATGGTCCACTTGGGTGAAAAATGGAATAATAAGAATCAAGGACCTATGGGATACTGAGCTAAAACATTGGAAGACTTTAGAAAAAATCAGAAAAGAAATCAAATATGCTCACAAACTCCTAGATAAGCTGGACGAAATCCTCTCAGCCATACCCCTATCCTGGATAATCGCCCTGAGAAAGGGCTCTGTTTTCCAGATGGAGGACTGGGTGTGTGTGAATCAACCGGATAGTTCCAAAGCAATAGGGCAAATATTGGAAGTATCTGAGGATGGTGCCCTGGTTAATCTTTTCAAAAGTCATAAAAACAACAAGATTGCAGAAAAGGATAAGGACAGGGTGTCTTTTGTCCCCTTTGAGGAAATGTATAGGGTGAGAACATTATATGTTACAAAGACAAAAGAATGGATAGTTTATCTTCCTCAGTGTCCTATCCCGGATCTCCCCCTGGATCCTGCAGAATGGTTATGGTGTTCAAACAAGAGATGCAAACCAATGAGCTCACAGTCCCTATCCGTTAAAGCAACCTATAGACTGTTGCGCCCTAAAATTAATATCTCAGAGATGATGCAGGACAGATGGCATAGACATCTGAATGTCCACGAAGACGAGCTTAAACCAGTCCGGTGGTGCCAAGGACTTCGAGAAAGACCAGCCAAGTTTGCATCCTTACAATGGCAGATAGTGCACAGATGTTTACCAACGAATGATTGGTCAATAGACCACTCTTCATTAGAACAGAAGGGAGTGGCATTACCATGGTGCAAATCATGTGTACAGGCATTTCCTAAAAGGAGAATCAGGGAAACAATTGAACATATATTTTTGCAATGTCCTGGGGCTGTTCTGTTATGTCGCCGATTGGACTACGTGTGGCGAAGATTCACAAGCCTGGAATGGCCCTGGGAATGGAGGACAATATTGTTAGGTTATTGGAATCCTCAACTTATAGAGTTATCTAAGTTCCAACAGAACTTCTTTCACCTAGGGCGGAAAGCGATATTGTGGGCATTATGGCACAAACGATGTATCAAAGAAATGGAAGGGGTAATGATTGAAAGTAATGAGATGATAGAAACAATACAAAACTTTATCCAAACAGAAATCAGAAGCCAATGGGAGAGGAAGAGAACAAAACTCAAAGAATTTAAACAAAAAGCAGATATCAAACAAGAAACACAGAAATTTCAACTAGACTGGCTAGGGGATTGAGCAGGGGAGAAAATGGGGGAAGTTGTATGGCCTGGAGAGAAAGAGGGGCAAGGGAGGATAAAACGAGATTACCAGATCAACTTCCATAATTGGCTTGATATCCAACCAGGGGCTTTCTTAAGAGCACCTGAATCTTTTGCGGATCCCTTCCCTCTTTCTTCATCAGCCTTGGTGGAGCTTGAGTGGTTTGGAGGGGGGGAAGATCAAACACAAGGCTAGGCAGAGTGGTAAGGGAGTCATTAGGGGAGGCTAGGGTTAATATTTTCATCCGGCGGTCAGAATTCTGACTGAAGAGGTGCTCCAGCCCATAGTTTGAGGTTCCTTACCACTTGCAGCAAAGGTTGCAGATTAAAGGACTCTTTGGATAAGATAATAAGGACGGAAGTTTTTTTTGGATTAGAAGATAACAGTAATGGGAAGCTGGAGGGACGCTGAGCCCGGTTCTCAGCATGTTATGTTCAGTTACTCCGGGTAGACTGTGAGGACCCTGGCCTCAATCTTATTATTGGTAATATCAGCCTTGGGCACTGGGCCCAGTTTAAAAAGCAATAATAAAAAAAAAGACTACAGGCATTCATGTCTGCACCTACATGATCAAAAGCCAATGCCAGTAGGGACACATAAACCAAGCTAACATGTCTCCTCCTGCACCCCCTCCCTCTTCCCTCCCTCCTTGCCCCTCCCTCCTTGCCCCTCCCTCCTCCCTTGTTCCACTCCCAGACACACAGCAGGCCAGGGAGCAAACAGATAAGAAACAGAGCTAGCAAGCAGCTTTGCACATACGGTTGCCGGACTAGACAAAATCACCTTCACAAACAAAAAAGTTGTTTGGCGAAACGAGACGCCGCCAACTTCATACGAATGATTACTGATGTGGTGCGAATCGATGTGTAGGTTCGCCGCAAGTCAATTTTGATAGCACCTTCACCCACTCAGTTTGTCAGATCCACCACAGTACAGGAGCCGCAGTGATGTTAAACAACCACTCCAACGGTCCCCCTGCAGTGTTCATTTCTCTTGTCTACAAGCACCTGGCCTAAATCTACAGTGCCCGGGCCCAGTAGAGGTTCCGTGGGGAAGGGTACCACAATTATTCTCCTCATCGTGGCACCGTAGATTGTAGGCTCGGGGAAATGCAACTTTTGGTTTGTCAAATAGGTCCGAACGGAGGGGTGGTTGAAAGCACCAGTACACCACAAATCGGCCCGCGGGTGTCAGCACGAAACCCGCACCACTTCAAAGGCCGCCGATTTTTTTTTTCAATGGCGCCCCACGCCGCGCGGCCCTTCCGAGTGTGGTGACAAAAACTTTCCGCAAGGCTGGGGCTGTGTACTTGCGGTTTAAGTGTACAGCCCTCACAAGCTGCACAGGAGAAGGTGCACTGCTTGACAGACACGAGTACGGACGTAGCTATGATGGATGGGTAGGCGAGTAAGCGCCGACAACACTCAGAAAAAAAACTGAACTTGCCGGAGCCGCCATGGTTATATACGCAGCAGCAACGAAGTGTTTGCTACGGCAAAAGGTTCAGACTCTTCAGAGCACAACACACAAGTGTTAAGCAAAGTATGTCCTCCGTTAAACAATTGGAACGATACAGAGAACGAAGATTTGCATGGGCCCTGTGCAAGGACGAGACGCATAAATCGAGAAATGGTACAAAGTTAAATAAAATAAAAAAAAGAAAAGAAAGAAAGTGTTAAGCAAAGCGAATATAGACGATGGGCGAGTTACAAGGTGAGTCAACTGTGACATCACCTACTCAATTTGTCAGAACCATGATGGTCTTCGAGCCGCAGCAACAAAATATTTGCTCCACACAAGATGTGCAGGGAAGAAGGTTCAATTTTTTTTATTTTTTATTTTTTTTTAAAGCTATATTCTTCTCTCAATTTCACCTCACACTACCTACCTACCACTACTCCTAATTGTAGGCATACCGAGAACCCCGTAGCAGCCAGAACCGTGTTCACGAGAGAACATGCGGGGGCTGCTCCCGACCTGCAGGTGGGCGATACCGGCTAGGGAACAGCCGGTAGCATCAGGGACCATGCCAACAGGACCAATCCCTGTGCCTCCCCTCAGGTCCCCTCCCCTATGAACATCAGCAGACTCTGCTAAGTGCCAATCGGGGGAAGCATCAGGGACCATGCCAACAGGACCAATCCCTGTGCCTCCCCTCAGGTCCCCTCCCCTATGAACATCAGCAGACTCTGCTAAATGCCAATCGGGGNCATCAGGGACCATGCCAACAGGACCAATCCCTGTGCCTCCCCTCAGGTCCCCTCCCCTATGAACATCAGCAGACTCTGCTAAATGCCAATCGGGGGATCCAGTGGTCTATCTCTAGGTGGCGGGCGCCAAGCATGCCCAGGAAGGTACATGAGGCCAATGGGGATTGAACCCATGACCTCCTGAATGCCACTTGCGAGCCTTACCAACTGAGTTAGGCCGCTGGATAGACGGTTCATTTCAGCTACAAGCGATTTGCAGTCCATGTGAGTAAACCATATCCAGTATAGTACATAATACATGGAGCGAGCCAGAAAAGCACAGAGAAGCAAAATGAGCACTGCCACAAGTGGAACAAACTTTTCGTCGATTCATCCGTATGCTTACAATATCGTTCACACCCACCCACCTGATTTCACTCTCCCACCTGATTTCGCTCTCCCACCTGATTCACTCTCCCACCTCATTTCACTCATGTTCTAGTAGTTCTAAACATATGCTGTAAATCTATCAGAGATGTAGATTTTCTGTATATATATATAGGACACAGCTCAACCCATCGCAGCATCAAAAAAAAGAAAAAAGAAAAAACACCGACCTGATCTCTGATGAGAAGGCCATCAACCAGATCACAGCCAGGAGCAGCATACAGGATAGGAATCCCACATAAGCCCTGCCAAGCTGCTGGATCCCACTCTCAATTGCCACCAGCGCAAATAATGCAATCACAAGATTGGCGAGCAGAATGCCCAAGTACAACAAGGCACTCAACGACCCCACCAACCCGCACACGACCTGCCATTCAAATGCCGAATAGAGAACTAAAAAATTGAAAATTCAATGAATCAGCTCAAGAAGCCACTTGGATCATTGATCGAAGCACATTAGTACTGGAAATAAAAATATATCAAGTAATTAATTATAAAAACATAAATTAATAATAATAAACAGTTTTTAATAAAACATGTAGGTACTGCATTTGTAGAGACAGAGAGGTAGTAAGGAGGGATTGTAAATGAACCACAAGTCACAGTGTTCAGTGCCCGGGACTTTCTACTACCATCTTCACCCAAATAGAACGCCTGGTCATTATCCCCGTATCTAGACTGAGAGTTGCCCCAAATACAGCTATAATGACCAAGCGTTCTATTCCAGTGTTGACGGTAATAAAGGTGGAGAAACACCAAGACTCAAGAAAACTGTGTTTGAATACTCTGTGTGTTTGTGTGGGGAGAGATGGCAGGGGGGGGGGAGGAGGAGAGGGGGGAGGAAGGTAAGGGCTGAGAGAGGGGTAGGGAGGCAACGCCTGGGTACCGAGGGGAGTTTCCCGGTTGATCTCGAGCCTTTCAGGGCCCACATGTTGTGTACTCTTGTGATTTCCAATTTTCCATCATTTGCTTGCCGGGGAAAAGTAACCTGACTGGTGGCCCTTCTCTTTGATTTCTTCGGGAAGTCTTTTTTGAAGTAATGCTGTGTGCCTATACTAACCGTGTTGTCCATCCACAGAGGCTTGAGAGTCGAACAGGGACTGGACTGCAGAAAGGTAGGACCTTCGAGGGTAGGTCTGCAATTTGACATAGCGGACTGGCAAATTTGTAAACTTGTGACATTACAGGGGCATGCCAGAAATTCGGTAAGGGACAGCAGGATATTCCAGCAAGTCCAGAGCTAGGGGTACACCAGTAGYCCCTGGTACAGATATCAGTCCAGTAGGACTCCAGTATGGAAGGAATTCGGACCAAGGTCAGTGCAGATTCGTCCGTACTAACCAGAGCGATATGGAAGGTTATCRTTTTCCTRCCGAAGGGCACACAGGTAGGCCTTGGGAGGCTAGGTTACTTGGCTGGCAGGCCAGGGAACCAACCATCGAGGGGGGCCGAGGGGGACCGAGGGGGACCGAGGGGGACAAAGGGGACCACAGACGGGGACAAAGGGGACGAGGGAGGGGGACAAGGGGGGCGAGGGGGATGAGGGGGACGAGGAGGATGAGGACCAGGACCAGGGTAGGACCAGGATGAGGACCAGGACCAGCACCAGGACCAGGACCAAGACCAGGACCAAGTTGAGGAGGAGGACGACGAAAAACCAGGACCAAGCTGAGGAGGAGGACGACGACGAGCAGTAGGAAGACGAGGACAAAGGGAACGAAGGACGAGGACAAGGACGAGGACCAGGAC